CATGGAGAGAAAGATGAGAAAACATGGGTTGTTTCTATATCAACTGGGCTGCCAATAGATCTTGACAGTAGATCAGGCAGAGAGAGAGAAAACAAAAGGTGGGGCCGCAGGTTGTATAATAACTGGACACTGTCGGTGACATCACCCATTTGTTCGGCAAGAAGAGTTTTGGAAAAGCTGACCCAACCTACCAGAAGTTGACCTTTGACCTCCTTACAAGTGGCCATGAAGTCAAAAATGTAACGTCATTCCGGATTACTTGACGAAAGGACCGTCTGTTTCTGCGTTCAAACTCTGAGTCTTGAGAGAGGGAAAGAAAGTAAACAGACTGATAGATAAATGGATGTCACATTAAACTAACACAGCTACATCAACAGCAGCTTTACAATTGAGTCGCCCTAAAAAATACAGAGCTGATGTGTACGTTTCAGCGTGTTTTTTTTCTTCACGGTCCAAACTTCTCCAAAATGTCAGGTCTTAATGAAGTCATCAATCTGTCTAATGGTTTCTGTCCTTAAGTCACTCTGTTATTACAAATTAAACATGAAGAAGCGAAACAGAGCTGATGTGACTCACTTTGTTCCATGATGAGAGATATGGCGTTTGTTCCGCATTTATGTGAGCCATGTTTGTAATTATAGACAGCTCTGTCACTCTTTAGGAATAGGCTCACTCTAATCTGAACTCTGTTTCTACGATATTCAGCCTTTCTCATAGAGGCCCATCACCTCCGCTTTGCTGTGTCCACATATCAACATGACAGTGAATAGTTCAGCTGCAGGAGAAGGGAATGTGCTTATGTAGGACTCCTGACACCAAGAGCTTCACAGGAAAAGAAGAAAATGATCCATCAGACCTCAGTGCACTCACTAAAGAAGCTATTTGACGTGGGCCTCATGGGCCTGACTGCTGTTGTGTTTGGCTGAGGAGGGTTCGGAGCTGCAGGGCAGCAGTAGCCAACTGTGGCTGCTGTACGAGAGCTGTTTGTACGGCAAGACAAGACATGGCCTCCCCTGGACACCAGAGCTAAAAGGAAGATACAAGGTAAGGAGGTAGGAGCAAAGGATGGGAGGATGCAAGGTGACAAGCATTCATGTCTGAACATGGGCGAGGTGTTCACAGCTCCCTTTTTCTTGCATGCACTGGTCAAACTTTGCACGGTAGACAGCTGGAGATCTGGTCTAAAGAGAGGCAACTTTTAATCCAGTGTGTCTGCAGTTGCAATGATGCCATCACAAGGACTCTTTGCATCCTTGCATAAGCATCTTGTTTATATTTTTATTATAATGTGCACAGTGTAGTCACACCAATGTCCGCCGACATTCACACTGTGTTTGCAGATGTGATCTACATGCAGACATTAGAGGAGCAGGAAGCAGAAGCTGTAGTCACTATATAGCATAGTTTAATCTTTTTATTACAGTGCTATCATGTTTCAAATATTTACCCGCAACATGGTGCATATCTATTTGTCTGTATAAATCCAGATGTTTATCTCACAGCCTGCTTACAGGCTTATAGACTCCTCCTGTGGAGATCACAAATAGAGTCAAAAGCAAGTGAAATGCAGAGAAATGAACAAACTATATAAATAAAAACCAACTAAAGTACAGCTCCTGCAAGAATTTTACACCATTTACGTGTTCTAGCCTGTTTGTTGCATTATTTGTTTGTTGTCATTCATGAAACCTACATTCACAATTTAGCATTTGATTCATCGTTCAAAAAAAAATAAAATCACACTTTTAACATTTTAAAGACACCATAAAAATCTATAAGCTCTGTCTCAATTCATTGGAGAAGTGCTTTTAAATATTCAAGACTGCTCCTTCCTCTCAGATTATGATGAAATGTATCAGTGTGCATTGCTGAATCAGATATTTATTCAGTGTATACATTCAGTGTCAGTAAAGCAGAACAGTGGTTGGACTGAGCACCTGGCTGAAAGGGAAATGAATAACAGGGAGATGTAATGTACGATATGCTGGCTAAGGTTAGAGAGCTAATTAAAAATGTTTGCTAAGAGGATATGATTGATTATACACCACAGACGGTATAGAGAATGGACAGCATCTGCCTCCTCGCTGGGTGAAGCCACTCTGAGAACAGCACCCTCTGTTGATGGGCTGCAGTATAGGTCATAAATCCCGCCTCCGCCAGCAAAGCTTGTGGAGCTGTGGACAAACTTTAGAAATTTATTACACAGAACATTAATTTTTCTTCCCCCTGCTTGCAGTGTTGACATGTAGTTACAGTAAGACTGGTTTGTGCTCAAGTCCTCTTTTTTTTTTTTGTGAAGCTCCATTTTTAAAAGTTATTAGGGGGTTCATTGCAAGGATGCCTAGCCCAGGTTCACACTTGAAAGAATGGAAGGTCCACACGAATGGTCAGTTTGACAAGCTTTACTGGTTGCAGATCTGGATTACAGCTTCAGCATGCCACAAGTGTAACAAAGTTTGGTTTGAGACCGTCCAAGTATATATAGCTGCCCACATTTCCAAACATACTGCTGACATTGAGTTGACCCTAAGAAAAATCCATGTATGGTAAGAACAAAGGACAACATGTTTTAAGAAGCCTTGGTGAACATAAGGAGGGTCCATAGAAGAAAATACCATGGCAGAACATATTTTGGGGACCTGTGTGATGTAAAAAATGTGTACAAGGTTTGTTGGTTGAGGATGGTTGTTGGAGGCCCTCGGCTCCAGCAATCAAACACCAAAGTATCTGAGGTATTTGAGTGACACAGCTCCACCACTCTAAAGGCCGACATGACTGGCTAAGAAAAATCACCCTAACATTCATGTTTTCTTTGATTGACACCTGATGCAGCCTATTGGCGTTCAGGGATTGCGTAGCTCACCCAGGGGATACACTGTTTGATACAGGCGGGAGGCGGAACCTAGTTGTTCATTGTATATACAGCCTATGTACTGTGACAACAAGCTCACTTTAAAAGTGGTTGAAGGAACACAAATGCAGATTCAAAGTCTTCATGAAATGCATTTTCCTGCTAAAATATGAAATATAAATGCTCATATTAAATTTGATGGCATTAACAGGAAAGAAATCTGGGTCAGGGTCATGTTTAGACTTGTGTTGCAATATGTCTTTTTCCGAGACTTGATAAACGGAGTCTGACATAGAACTGGGCGATTATGTGATCGTGATAAATTTCAGTTCGATCACGGTGATCAGCTGTGAGCATATTTACTCGATCAAAGATAGCGGAAATGTGCGTCACAACTACCAATTGGAGTCAAGCATTTCCTGCTCGCTTCTGTAAGTTGCTGTAGAAGTAAACAGGAGAATTAAACAGAATGACCAAACGTAGACCTAAACGCAGAGCTGAGGGCAGCAAAATAGATGTCAGTCATGACTTTGAGTCATCCTCCGAGGGTGTCATTGTTGAGAAGAAAAGTTATTCAACGCCAGTTGTCTGGCGGTGGCTTGGGTATCTCCAAAGTGACAATGAGCAATTAAACCAATGTGCAAGGTATTTCTGCACTTTCTTATTCTGTTAAATCATTTGACGAAGTACTTTCCGAGTGATTATGCTGCCACTGCTGACGGCACCAGTAGCATTGGCAGTTTAGCCACAACTAGCAATGCAGCCACCAGAACAAAGCAGCAATCAATCGTTTACATCATCTACGTTAACATCATCTAATGTTTACATTTTAAGGCATCGTCATTATTCCTGAGGGGGCGGTTTGTTTATTTAGGGTCTTGCATACCTGCAGAAACACTCAGGACTGTAAACCAGTTCACTGTATTATTTAGTATTTATCTACTTTGTCGTACTGTTGAGTTAAAATGTTTTCTATATTTTTCTATGTTTATCTTATTCAATTTGATTTGGTATTTACTTTGTATGTTAAAAAAATATTGAACTAATCTCTTTTTTCTTTAGTTTTCTTTTTTTTTTTCACCTCATTAGTTAAATATGTTCCAGCTCTTTATTTAAAGCACTTTTAACCCTTTTTTTCAGGGTATAATAGTTTCTGTCCAAACCTTTGGGAAAGCTTGCATCTAATTTAAGCAAATATTTATAATATAGTAAAACATTGTCTTAGTTTATATAATATTTATATCAGTAAATTATATTAGTTTTAATATGTTTAGGTTGTTTTTGCATTATTTCACAGTGTCCAAACTTTTTAGGAAACAAGGTTGTAGGCTGGTATCTTAGAAATACATAATGAGCAATTATTTCAAATGCAAACAATAAATAGTAAATGGTAGAGAGTGAGGGACACTTTGAAAGAAAAGTTCACTCTTGCTGAATGAATCTTCTTTGTTTTTCATGCCCAGCGGGTCTTTGCATGTCTATCACTGATAACTTGATCTCAGAGCCTGAAACTAAACCTAAACTGATCTTAAGAGGGAATGTATTTGTCCTATTTTGAAGGGGAGTGAGATTTGAAGTGGAAATGTGTGGGATATATTAAACTTCATCATGAATAAGTGATATTCCTGTGGGTGTAACTGCAGTTTAGGATCCTGTTTTCTTACCAAATTAATGCACAGTAAGTTTCCGTCTTCCACATTAGCATTCAGGCTTAACTGATTAGCTTAGCTGGCCTCAGGCGATGGCAATCACTCGTCTTTTTGATGTTGAGGGGGATAAGATATTTGGCAGCACTGGGGGGGTGTCATTAATCTTTCGTAAATGATATCCAATATCAAAAATACCCTGAGTGGACATCTTCGTTTTTCCCCTGACTGTGGATCCTGAAGTCACACAGCGGCTTTCCTTCGTCTAAACTACATAAATGAAGTTGAAATGAGGAAACACTGCCCTACAGAGCGGGATGACAATGCTGAAACTGAGTGGAGTTTAGATGTTGGTGAAAGACTTTGAGGTATGCTTTCAAGCACAGGGGGAGCCCGGTGCAAAGTACTCAGGCATAGCAGTTTGATTTCCCCAATGATCGTAATTAAACGTTTTCTATTTGAACAGCCAGCAGGGAACTCTTGGGCTTGTGTTTGGGTAGTGGCTATTGTGTTTGTGGAGCCAAATATTGGAAACTTTGATACAGAATCCCCTGATGTATGTTAACTTTGGCAGCAGCCAAAGGATTCTGGGGATGCTTTTCCTGCACATTACTGCGCCTCCACTGTCCACCACCCACCATCTCCACAGGTCGTGGAGTTCCCTGTAGCCACTGCTCGCTGCGCCGAGGAGGGGGAAGCACAGGGAAGACATTGTGATGCATCTCGGGGTGAAAACGTATCTCAAATGTCTTAGAGGTTTTTAGAGAAAACACTTGGATGTGGGAGTTTTTTGTAGAGGCCTATCTCGTCTTGCTGAACTCTACTTCATCCTCACACATACCTCACTGTGTTGTCTCTCGCACTACAAGAAGCCTCATTGCACCTCTAGAGTGAGTCCTCCCCTTACAGCAGGTATGGTGTATGAACCCCTCACCCTGTGATCTCCCCCTGAAGTAAATGATCAGACTACTGTGGAAGAGAGCACCAGGGCAAGGCACCCTTGGCCGGTCTCCTTGCAGCACAGGATGAGTCTTGGTTTGATGGGAATGTGAGCTGAGGGCCGCACAGGAGGAAAGGCAGAGTCAGCAAACAAGGGGTAGAGCAAATAAGCCGCATATACGGTTTGTTATGAGGGTCTCTTTTCTCTTGTGTGTGTGCTTACACAGTACCACTGATACCAAGACAAGCCAGTCCTGCAGTGCTCCTCTTTCACTGTGATTGCTATTCTGCAGGCTGAGTCCACTTTTTTTCATAAATGTACGGCTGACCTATGACCTCCATTGACTCCTGGGAGTAAAAAAGGGCCCCAACCTACGATAACAGTTTGTCAGTGTAATTTGTTTAGAGTGTACATTCCCAGCTGACCATTATTACATTTGCAAAAAGCTTTCTCCCTGTGATATACGAACAGGGTGGAGGAATGGCATGGACACTTGTGCTGGCTGCAGCTCTGTAAACATCCTAACACATCACCTGGTGTCATTTCCAGCTCATCAACAGTTTAAATTATCTTGTGCAGTTTGAAGGTTTTTTCCTGCATGCTGTCTTCTTCTTTCTTTTAATCATATGTGCTTACGCTGTGGTGTAGATGGTTCAAACTCCTCCCTGAGTGTGGACAACATGGTCAAACTGTTAAAGGTCTATTTTCTGAACTATGAAACTGACAATGATAGTAATGTTAGTATCATCAGGCCTTTATTTCCCTTGACTGGACTCTAATTTGATGTTTGTATTAAGTAAAATTGTGGTGCAAAGTGGGGGTTTGATTTATAGAAAGAATTGCATGCCTTGTGCAAATGACCCAAGAAGACATTTTCTAATTCACAAAGTAAGTGCAAGTCATTAAATTCTCCTCAAACACGTGTACTGCATTGTTCATGAATTAACTCCAGAATTAAACAGGAAAGACTTTTCCTCTCTTTCCAGCTGTTAGGTGGTGCCAACAGCTTATCTCAGTCACAACCCAAAACAGGAGCAAACTGCACAGAGCTGCAGAAGTTTGTAGCCATAAACAAAATGCCTTATGGAGCAGAAAGTGAGAGCAAACAGTAAACAATTTATGGGGCAATTAGGAGTATCAAACTATCCCTTTTCAGATTTGTCTGACTCCACATGAATATAGTGTTGACTGCAACTTGAAGAGGCAAACTGAAAGCCCATTAGGATGTGAGGATCATCAGACTACATACTTTTGCAGATTTGTTCATCCACTTTTGTTTTGTGCAGAGCCAAGCAGCTGAATTCTGCCGGGCCGAGCCCACGCAGTCAAAAGAAACCATCTACAGAGCAGGATGAGATGTTGTGTGATTCTGATTTTCCAGTAGTTCTGAAAGTTTATTCTCTTAGATGCTCTCTGAAGACTCTTGATTTAGATACTGCATGTTTTTTTAAGCCATTTGAAGGCAAATTTCCAGAGGCTGAAGAGCATTAGCATACAATAGAGTTTAACATGCTGTTTGAAGATTTCATCTGTGCTTCATTTCTGTTTCAAGTAGTTTTTCTGAGGCATGATTGTGGGTAACAAAGCATCCACGGAGGTCGGGGTAATAAACTTATGTCTGGCTGTCGTAAGTCTCTGGGGACTCCACATCAGGAGTGCAGGACCGGTTTCAGCGCTTTCTGTCAGCTTTCCCACATCAGGATCTGATGTAGGCAGCCACTTCCCCCTGAGCCGGGCCGCCTGCCAGCAGGACAGTGAGCAGCTGGTCGGGGCCCAGCCTTTGATGGGGTAGAGTCAGCCCACGGGGTATTACAAAATGCACAAGAATGACATGAAGGGAGTGTCATGCTAATGCACTTATTAGAGTCAGGTTTCTCATGAGCTAAGAACGGAGCAGTCCTCTTTCTGCTGCAGCTCAAACATCTGGTCCACAGTGATGGGAGAGTGGCAGCGCTTGGTTAAGGGAAAGATCTGAGTCCTGGTTTCATGAGACCCAGAGTCAAAGTGCAGCTCCTTGAAAGCTCACCGTCCACCCACACTGCACTGTAGTGATTCAACTGTGACTTCTTTGTAAAACTTCAAATCAGGGATGTTGAATTCAAAGCTCCAGTAAGGAGTTTTCAGGTTGTTTCTGTCACTACGTTAAGTCCAGCTACAGTTAAAGCTTGATTAGGTGATTTAACTGAACTACGATCATTGTCCCAGTTTACAAGCACTGAGCCTATGCTCAGCTCCTGAGCAATACTTTAGAATGTCCCTCTGAAAATTTCAAGAACTGCTCCATCAGCTGAGTCCACGTTTGCAGAAGAAGAGGACAAATTACATAGAGCCAATTGATCCAGAGCCACTGGCACAATGGACTGATTAACATCTCGTCCCGTGTTTTATGATTCTGTTTTATGATTCCTAATCTGCTGGTGTGTAACGACCTTAACTCTTCATAACTGCTTATTACAAAGACCTTTATATTCAGTGTTTCATCAATTTCTGAAAGACAAAAAAAAAAAAAACTTGTTGGTTTGTTCTGGTCCTGCTGTGGTAAAGTCTGGACTTTGCATTCACCCACATATTCTGCACAAATGAAGGCTGATTTTCACATATTCGATGGGGTAACTCGTGGTTGGCTGCAGCCTGAAATCTTGCTCTAAGCTTGATCACACAGCGCAGACGTGAAGGATCCCATTTCCCATAAATCCTCCTGCTTCCTGTCTCCTTGTCTTTGTCTTCACCGAAGAGTCCAAACATGCTGGAAGTGTATTTTTTTTTTTTTCACTTAATGTTCGTTTCTCTTTACACTTTCTGCTGCCAGGGGTTCTGGAAAGTTTGAGTCTGGAGCTTTTGGGAGGAGAGGACAGTGCTACTGGTTAGTATCAGTCTGCTCTGAGGTAACAGGGAGAGAGGTGATGAGGAAGAGCAGGACATCACATCAGGGCAGAGGGAGAAAAAGCTGCTGCTATGGAGGTGGATTACATGTTTCTTCACCATTTTCTTTTAGTATGACACATGAAAACACCAAGTTTTACCATGATGTCATCTAAACTGAGTTATAAATAAACCGTAGAGTTTATTTTACCCGTGAAACACTGGCACATCAGTTTTCTCATGAAACACTCCAACACTTCTCTGAGTGTGGCAGAGTTTTATTGGATTTTTGCAGCCTCACTGTTTCTATGAAAGGCTGAGGGAGAAAGAGAGAGGTGTAAAGGTATTGGCAGCTACAGTGTGCCAAACACTGGACAGAACAAAAGTGAGCATCACTTCTCTGTATAGGTGAGATGTGAAGAAGTTCATCTCTGGGTGGAGATTTATGCTGATTAGTGGCTTTCAGGAGCGTGCTGTCACGAGTGTCCATGTTTATGAATCTGGGGTAGTTTTTTAATACCAGTAATGTTTATGTGTAAATCTACACGTGACTTTGCTAATGTTACATGAATGAGACCCTGTTTTTAGCTGGATTCTGCATCAGTTTTAAGGCTGGACTGGAGGACTCGATCCAACTATCACACATCCAACTTTCAACGTTTCTGTTATTGAATCTTAAACAGGTATTTTGTTTTGAAGTGAGGTTGTATGAGTAAGGCCTAAAACCCACAGGATGCCTGTTGGGCATTTTGTCAGTGCAGCATGCTACACAACAAACATGCTCCCACTGTAATCAATGCAACATCGCACACAGGAAACATAACATCGGATCACAGCTCCATCTGGACACACTGCTTGGCTAAAGCTACGCACCGAGTCTATTTTTCAACAGAACATCGGCCAACGCGCATCCTGTGTGGTTTTTATCTGCCGATAAAGTAACATCCTATTTCTATTGACAGTTTCTGACTTGCATCCATCACAGCTAACACACTTGGAAGTGACATGTGACTCATAAAGTTCCATGGAGGCTGTCCATGTAGATTCTCATTCATGGAGGCTAATTTGACAACTTTTTGTCAAATGTAGTACCCTTTTTTATATTCAGTCTTTACTTGTTACCTGAGTTCACTGCAGGATCATGGCGCTGTGGCACCAGATGGCACCTGCATGGACCTGGGAATTATGTGGTCATGTGTACATTATGCTCACGGTGGCTTAGGCCACTATGACAAAGGTATAACCCAGGCTAAGAGGTAAGAACAACCTAATTTAAGACCACCCTCCATCCTGACGTCTTAAACTTTACACATCTAAAGTGTGTAACTTTTCATACTAAAAGAAATGCAGCACAAAGTGCTTTACATGTTAAACCACCCCCACCGAGACCCCACCCCAGCGCACTTGTACACACACACACAGACACACACACACACACACACACACAGATAATGCAATCCGGGCGCACACCCAGCTACAGCCCTGTATAGGGGCCCACAGCAGCAAGCACTGCTGCAGACCACCACCTGGCCGGGCTGAGTGCACAACACGAGGCAGAGAAGTCCCAGACAGAGCCAGTCACAGCCTCCTGTGCAGGTGGCCTCCACTGAGGAAACACTGGAGAAACAATAAAAACATAAAAACATAAATTACATCGGCTAAAAACGTCAAACCAGACAAAATGATAAAATACTGATAAATAGCTAAAATACCATTTAAAAATAAGTAAATAAATGGAGTAAACATAACATGTAAAATAAGGGACTAAAACATATAAATAAAAAATAAATAGGATAAAAATATAGATAAGACATTAGTTAAAAGCCAAATGAAATAGCTGGGTCTTGAGCCTGCTTTTAAAAATATGAACATTCTCTGCGGCCCTCAGATCCTCCGGCAGGCTATTCCAAAGACGGGGGC